CTGGGTACCAGCTTCTCAGCGCAGCTGGTTCAGTGTCTCTGACAAGGCCATCATGAACCCCCATGATACAGGCACACAGGGTGAGATATAGCAAGAGACTCCCAGACCCAGGGCTCGAACCTAGACTCTCAGGGTAGCTGACGCAGAGCGTGATAGCAAGAGACTCCCAGACCCATGGCTCAAACCCAGACTCTCAGGGTAGCTGACGTACAGCGAGATAGCAAGAGACTCCCAGACCCAGGGCTCGAACCCAGGTTATCAAAAGTTCTGATACAAAGCATCATAGCAAGAGACTGCCAGACCCAGGGCTCGAACCCAGACTCTCAGGGTAGCTGACGCACAGCGGGGGTAGCAAGAGACTCCCAGACCCAGGGCTCGAACCCAGGTTCTCAGGGTAGCTGACGCACAGCGAGATATCAAGAGACTCCTAAACCCAGGGCTCGAACCCAGACTCTCAGGGTAGCTGACGCACAGCGGGGGTAGCAAGAGACTCCCAGACCCAGGGCTCGAACCCAGACTCTCAGGGTAGCTGACGCAGAGCGTGATAGCAAGAGACTCCCAGCCCCAGGGCTCGAACCCAAGTTCTCAAAGTTGCTGACGCACAGCGAGGTAGCAAGAGACTCCTAGACCCAGGGCTCGAACCCAGACTCTCAGGGTAGCTGACGCACAGCGGGGGTAGCAAGAGACTCCCAGACCCAGGGCTCGAACCCAGGTTCTCAGGGTAGCTGACGCACAGCGAGGTAACAAGAGACTCCCAGACCCAGGGCTCGAACCCAGGTTCTCAGGTTAGCTGACGCACAGGGAGATATCAAGAGACTCCCAGACCCAGGGCTCGAACCCAGACTCTCAGGATAGCTGACGCAGAGCGTGATTGCAAGAGGTACCCAGACCCAGGGCTCGAACCCAGGTTCTCAAAGTTGCTGACGCAGAGCGTGATTGCAAGAGCCTCCCAGACTCAGGGCTCGAACCCAGACTCTCAGGGTAGTTGACGCAGAGCGTAATAGCAAGAGGTGTCCAGACCCAGGGCTCGAACCCGGGTTCTCAAAGTGCTGACGCAGAGCGTGATAGCAAGAGACTCCCAGAGCCAGGGCTCGAACCCAGGTTATCAAAAGTTCTGATACAAAGCATCATAGCAAGAGACTGCCAGACCCAGGGCTCGAACCCAGGTGCCTCAGGAGAGCTGACGCAGAGCCTCGAGAGCAAAGTGCATCACTCAGGCAGCCACTTAGCGGCTAATATCGGCGTAAACACGCTTACATAACCAAGGGCATAATCGCGCGTGATTAGGGGCCGAATAATTGCGCCTGCCTTCAAATTGGTACAAAAGTGCTCATGTACACACACACAGAGACACCCACCACGCAAAATCACCTGCTGAAAATCACCCTCATTTGCTAAAGGCAAAAAAAAATCCATTCCGCAAATTGGTTATAATTGAATTAGCGGTCGCATCTGAAGTCAATGCTTACAGAATATTGATTCAGTTTTTTGTTGTTGCTATTTATTCCGTCATTCATTGAAATTGCGATAATAAAACTAAGAGTATGTTTTATTATTATTCTGAGCCTTGTGGTAAGCTGTGTGCGCGCACACACACGAAATAATAATAATACGATTATAATTCCGCCGTAAGAGCCAGAGAAACACAAAGAGAGAGAAAAAAAAACCTAGCCTTAATGTATTTAATCGGGCAAGCATTCAGCTACTGATGCTGCTGCTGTCCATGGTACTAGCGCAGCAGCAGCAGCAGCCAAACGCTGTTGTGGTGGTGGTAGTTGTTTGGAAGGGGAATTGATGGTGTACATGAGTGCCGGACAAAAGCCTTTCTCAATGAGATACGGGAATGGGAAGAACGCCTGGTGCACAGAGCTAATGACACGGGGCTGTCTATTTATTGAGGCGATTGTGTTTTGTTAAATGGGCGTTATGAGGTTTTCGCCGCCGTACTTAGCGAGAAATGCCGGCTAGAGTTGAAATACAGATAATGGGATTGTAATCATTGTCGCTGTCGTCGTTGTGATCATCATCATGATCATAACCATCATGATCGTAATCATTATCATCGTCAGCAGCAGCAGTAGTATTCGCGGTTGCATTGTCATCAGTAGCAGGAATAGCATCATCATCAGCAGCAGCATTGTCATCATCATCATCAGCAGCAGCAGCAGCATTGTCATCATCATCAGCAGCAGCATTGTCATCATCATCAGCAGCAGTATTGTCATCATCAGCAGCATTGTCAGCACCACCACCATCATTGTTATCATCATCATCAGCATCGTCATCATCAGCAGTATTTTCATCATCAGCAGCATCATCATCAGTAGCATTGTCATCATCAGCAGCAGCATTTCCATCATCAGCAGCAGCAGTATTTTCATCATCATCAGCATCATCAGTAGCATTGTCATCATCATCATCATCAGCATTGTTAGCAGCAGCATGATCATCATCATCATCAGCAGCATTGTCAGTAGCAACAGCAGCAACACCCCGCGGTAGGAGGCAAGAGGCGTCAATCGAGCAGCCTGATTCGAGCCTAACGCGGGCATTGTTGTTACAGATGAATTGCAAAGCAAGCGACAGGAGTTTGATGCCGAAAGTTTGCGTGGCGGGGGTTATGGTGGAGTCACTGATTTATAATTGTGATGGGGGGGGGGGGGGGGGGTGAAAGCAAAAAAAACAAAATGCGATTTAAAAGCAACGTTTTTGTTGTTGCTACTTTCTACTTATTTATAGAAGTGTTTTATGTTCATATGTATGTGTTTGTTGTTTGTTATTCATGTTGTTGACTTTCATGTTCGCGTGATGTCTGACTACGATCCGACTCGTAGCCTCGCCGCCTAAAGGGATCTGGGCAAGAATTTGAAAGCCATCAATTCCATTGTTTTTAAAACCCAAACGACGAACTATTTGTCGTTTTATTTCACCAGGTAAGGCTTCAGAAGCCACCGGGCTACAATAGCTCAACGAATCGGCACATCCTCATTATCGTGTGGACATTTATAGCAGCAGTCAACGCACTCCAAACGCGTGATGTTGTTTCTAAATGTGGAGGGGAAAAACCGGAGGAACAGGAGAAAGATCCACGCAACCACCACGGGGAGAGAGAGAAAGACGCGAACTCCAAATTTCCAACAGGCGTCAGGGTCGGGATTGGACCAACGACCTCCTGTATACCAGACAAGATAGTTAACATCTCACCACTGGAATAGCGAGAGAGAGAGAGACGCAAACTCCAAATATCAGCAACAGGCGTCAGGGTCGGGATCAAACACAAGACCTCCTCCTGTATACCAGGCGAGGTAGTTAACATCTCACCACTGGAATAGATATATATATAGAGGGAGACACGCAAACTCCAAATATACAGCAGGTGTCATGGTAGGGTTCGAACCAACAACCTCCTGTATACCCGGCGACGTAGTTAACATCTCACCACGGGAATAGAGTGAGAGAGAGACATGCAAACTCCAAATATACAGCAGGCGTCAGGGTCGGGATGGAACTCACAATCTCCTGTACACCAGGCGAGGTAGTTAACATCTCACCACGGGGGGGAGAGAGACACGCAAACTCCAAGTATACAGCAGGCGTCAGGGTCGGGATGGAACCCACAACCTCCTGTACACCAGGCGAGGTAGTTAACATCTCCTCGCCACCGCGGCTCTTTTAACTTTGCAGAGCCTCGCTCTTTAAATCCCGGCTATTACTGGCCACCCACCACGGGCCGCAACAATTGCGTGGAATGCTGCAGCTTCTCTGGCTATGTGGAGTCTGTGTGCAGTGGTTCGGTTCCCGCTCACGGCCAACAACAGCGACGATTATCTGAACCGGTCCTGGAACTCTCCTAGGTCAACTCAGCCTCAAATGAGTGCCTGGTGCGGCGTGTAGTAAACATCGCCACTGGGGAGAGACAAAGGCGTGCGGGGCGTGGTGCTGGCCGCCCACCCACCTCGTGTGCCGTGCCGGCCTTCATAGGTGCTAGTCGCTAACGGCACTTGCCCCTACAGTCTTTTGTTGAGGTGGTGGTGAGGTGGGGGGGGATCTTCGTCTGTGTCTAGGAGTTATGTGTGGCGAGCGGTGGTGCAGTGGTTAGGGTGCGGCAACCTCATGAACCATTTCGATTTAAAGCTTTCGTGACTGCAAGGATTCATCTTCTTTGGTTCTTTCGGTAAAGTCACGTAGAATGAGAATACAATAATACATTGATAAAATAAAATAACACAATAATATTCTCACGACGTTTCGGCCACAACACAAGCGGCCTTCATCAGGTGAAGGGGACGAGACTGTCTGGAGGACAGACAGTCTCGTCCCATTCACCTGATGAAGGGGACAGACAGTCTCGTCCCCTTCACCTGATGAAGGCCGCTTGTGTTGTGGCCGAAACGTCGTGAGAATATTATTGTGTTATGTTATTTCATGAACCATCTGTCTCGTGGCCAGCAGCAGAAGCAGCAGCAGGAGACATTTAACATTTAGCCCCCGAACCGCATTCCCGCACGCACGAATAGAATAGAAGGGTAATTGTATAAACTAAACTCAATATGTTTGTTCATGTTACCAAGTAAGGTCCCGTAGCAGCTGACATGGGACACATCTTCGTCAAGCAGCGCTGACACACACTCTCACGCTCACTCGGAATCATCGGAATAGTCATATTAATTCGAGGAGGAATCCGATGAGCTATGAAGCTTTTGTGTTGTTGTTTTTTTAACAGAAACTGATGTCCAGTAGGGGCACAAGAAAGCAAGGCAAAAGCACTGACACAATCATAACAAAGGCAAAGATCCCCCGTATAGCCTCAACATACTGTTGGGGGCAAGTGCAGCTATCGAGCACCTATTAAGGCCGGAACGGCACACGAGAGGGTGGGTGGCCAGCACCACGCCCGGCCGCCTTTGTCTCCCCACCTATTCACACCCAGGGTAGGAGTCGAACCCGTGAACCCGTTCCTATTGACACCCAGGTCAGGAGTCGAACCCGAGGCTCCGTACCTATTCGCAGGACGTGGGGCATGGCCGTGCAGCGCCGGGGTCCCAGCAGAAGAAGGGCCGAGAAGGCCAACAGCTGTGCCGGCCACGCGAAGGCCCAGGTCCCTGGCCGGTGTGCCCGCATTGCAGGGCTTTCCGTGCTGTGTTCCTTCACATGCAGCTCCCGTTGTCTAAATCGGTCTGCACGCAAGTATACACGTACATACACAAATGTATCACACACATACACGTGCACATACAGACATGTACACGTGTACACGTGTACCACATACACACGCGTACCACACACATATACTTACCACACACACGCATGTACCACACACACATGTACCACACACACACACACGTACCATACACACGTGCCATACACACGTCCCACACACACACATGTACCATACACACGTACCAGACATGTACCATGCACACGTACCACACACACACACGTACCACACACACACATGTACCATACACACGTACCACACACACATGTACCATACACACGTACCACACACACATGTATCATACACAGGTACCACACACACACACATGTACCATACACACGTACCACACACACATGTACCATACACAGGTACCACACACACACACACATGTACCATACACACGTACCACACACACACATGTATCAAACACACGTACCACACACATGTACCATGCACACGTACCACACACACACACGTACCACACACACACGTACCACACACACACATGTACCATACACACGTACCACACACACATGTACCATACACACGTACCACACACACACGTACCATACACACGTACCACACACATGTACCATACACACGTACCACACACACACACATGTACAATACACACGTACCACACACACACGTACCACACACACACATGTACCATGCACACGTACCACACACATGTACCATACACACGTACCACACACACGTACAATGCACACGTACCACACACACACATGTACCATACACTCGTACCACACACACACACGTAACACGTCGCCATTTGAACAGCATTGGTGTACACGTGTACATGCTTGCCAGGTGCTGTAGGATCGGGCTGCAAGGTGTCTGAAGGATACCACTGCCGCAATGGATTACTGAATCCATCTGTGCGGAGCTTCGAGTGTCACCCACATGACGCCCGAGATCACTGGTTTCCTAGCAATGGAATGCATGGCCCAACATCGCAATGCAGCAGGACTCTCCTGACATCGAATCTTGAGACTCAGTTAGGCTTATTATGATGATTACTACGTTCTGCTGCAATAAATAATATTCATAATAACATACCTCACATGTGCACATGAACAGCCCTTTTGTTCAATTGTATGTGGTATGAAAGCACAGTGGGTGTTGATGGGTGGGACACGTGGTGTGCAGGGAGGAGGATGGGGTGGTGATGGGTGGGACACGTGGTGTGCATGGAGGAGGATTGGGTGGTGATGGGTGGGTCACGTGGTGTGCAGGGAGGAGGATGGGGTGGTGATGGGTGGGACACGTGGTGTGTAGGGAGGAGGAGGATGGGGTGGTGATGGGTGGGACACGTGGTTTGTAGGGTAGAGGAGGAGTAGGCCAAGTCACCGAGACCGACATTGGAGTGGCGCCCAGAGGTCGCGACCAAGTGGACGAGAAGTTCTCACGCCAGACGATGGTGGTGGTTGTGGTGGTGGTGGTTTTGGTGGTGGTTGTAGTGGTGATGGGAGTATTGCGGTTAGCGCGCTGCGCTACGAACCTGGCGACTCGAGTTCAATTCCCGCTCACGGCCAACAACAGCGACGATTATCTAAACCGGTCCTGGAACTCTCCTAGGTCAACTCAGCCTCAAATGAGTACCTGGTGCGGTGTGTAAACATCGCCACTTGGGAGACAAATGGGGCCCGGCGTGGTGTTGGCCACCCTCCCCCTCGTGTGCCGTGCCGGCCTTCATAGGTGCTCGCTAACAGCACTTGCCCCAACCGCCTGTTGAGGCTATACGGGGGATCTTTGTCTTTGTGCTGATGGTGGTGGCGATGGTGACGATGCTGTTACTGCGAGGGAAGTCGTTTGAGGTGATGTTCTCAGACAGGAGACCCGTATAGGTCCTTCCCCTTACCTCCGATTAGCACGGTTGGCTATGTACGGTGCGAAAGAAATTCGACAAAGATACCCCCACATAAGAACCTATAGACTCACACAGAGACTCATAGCCTCCCATAGAGATCTGTCCACCAAACATTTTCCCACACAGCATCTTGAGAATTAGTCACATTTAGAGGCTACATAAATACGCAAATATATATAACTCAATATATTTAACTAGTTTCGTTTTACCATTCAGCTGGTTGACTGGCGGCAGTAGCCCGATGTATCACGGATGTGGTGTGCTGGGTGGCTGACCCGATGAGTCGCAGCTGACATCAAAGGCCCCCAAAATGTAACAATACAAACAAAATGTGAAATGGGTCTCTGTCGTTTTAGTTGAAAACAGACGGCGAAATAGATCTGACATTTTACTCATTCATTCAATTAGCTCATTCACAATGTGCCCTTTTAATTGCTGCTGCAGAAAAGGGAAGAAACACAACGACGACAAAAATACCCCCACAATTAATTCGCAAGAAATCCGAGTGGCTCATTTAATGGCCTCTCACTATATTACGTTACGTTGGTGTCTCTCAATATTAAAAATAAACATGTAAGAGTAATTTCGATTTAAAGCTTTCGTGACTGCAATGATTCATCTTCTTTGGTTCTTTCGGTAAAGTCACGTAGAATGAGAATAAAATAATAAATTGATAAAATAAAATAACACAATAATATTCTCACGACGTTTCGGCCACAACACAAGCGGCCTTCATCAGGTGAAGGGAGCGAGACTGTCTGGTAGGACAGCGCTGGAGTGAGAGAGCCACGTTCAGATCACACAGCTTAAAAGCCGTGATCTGAACGTGGCTCTCTCACTCCAGCGCTGTCCTACCAGACAGTCTCGCTCCCTTCACCTGATGAAGGCCGCTTGTGTTGTGGCCGAAACGTCGTGAGAATATTATTGTGTTATTTTATTTTATCAATTTATTATTTTATTCTCATTCTACGTGACTTTACCGAAAGAACCAAAGAAGATGTAAGAGTAATAATAATGATTAAGAAGTTTATACATTCACAGCCATCTTTGTCAATTCACAGCTGGGTGCTGATACCTTCGCAAGCCGTGTCGGGTCGAGGGGGAGAGGAGGGGGTTGCTTGACCATACTTCACCATTTTTGGTCAGTGCAGGTTGGCGAAGGGTAGGGGAGTAGATCAGTCCGCGCTGATGTGAGCCGTGGCCGGGATTTGAACTTAAGGGTCTGTGGGGTCAAGTGTTCTTAGCGGGCACCTATTCAGGTTAGCACGGAACATGCCATTGGGGAGGGAAGTGTGTGGGGGGGGGGGAGGTGGCCAGCACCACCCCTCCCCCCGGCCGCCTTTGTCTCTCCCCAGTGCCGACATCTACACACCGGACCAGGTACTCATTTGAGGCCGAGTTGACCTCGGAGGGAGGTCACGGACCGGTTCAATTGTTCGTCACTGGCGTTGGCTGCGAGCGACGCTGCGCTGCTAACCTCGGCGCCGCCGCTCCGCGCGCCACGACGAGTGGAGGATTGGAGGTGCCGCTGCTTGCATTCGTCAGCTGAAGAAGCGTCCGCGCCGATTGTTGGCCGCGGGGGACAGAGGCCGAACGGACTCCGTGACGCCGGGGCAGCCCCCGCGGCTCGGCACGCGCTAACCGCTGCGCCACCGCTCCACTCACACCACGAGGACCCGCGCGAGGCTGCGTTGCGGTTGACGGTAAAACGGCGAGGGGGACGACGTTCCGGGGCTTGGAGCGAGTTGACACGTGGGGTAGAGGGCAGCGAGCAGCGAGCAGGGCCACTGGACTTGCAATCCAGAGGATCGCCGCTTCGATTCGATCTCCGGACGCGGCAGTTAAAACGATGCCTCCCTCCCACCCCCCCCCCTCTTCTCTCTCGGCCACCGACAGTTCTGTTCTTTCACCTGATGAAGGCTACTTGTGTTGTGGCCGAAACGTCGTGAGAATTGTATCGTCTTATTTTATTATTGTATTCTCATTCTACGTGATTTTACCGAAAGAACCAAAGAAGATGAATCCTTGCAGTCACGAAAGCTATAAATCGAAAAAAAATGTTTGCGTTTTTTATTGTTTGTGTTGTGTGTGTGCGTGTTTTTATTTGTGTTGCTGGTGACTTTGTGTGTTACGCATCGGGATCGCCTCCAGTGCTGTTGCTGCTGGCGGCAATAAAAGTTCTTTTTTTAAGTCACAAAAAGTCTCTTGCTAGCCCCCCATCCCTCCCCGCCCCCACCATCGTCTCTGCGCACCCAGCTCCAGCCGTGCGAACGGGTTCCACCCACAAGGTCACGCGTGGGTTTGGTGGTGGCGATTGCGGTGGGTTGGCCGGTGGGGTTAAACGTGGGGGGCTTTACCCCCCCCCGACCCTCTCCCAGCGCGCGTGAGCTAAGGGGCCATCCATTGAGCCCGTACGCATGGATGGGGGAGGGGGGGTCGACCAAAAGGGTCCGTTTGCGTATGGGAGGGGGTCTACTGACATGTGCGTACGCATAGGAAACGGGGGGGGGGGTAGGGTGTGAAGCCTCGATAATAATTTGTCTACGTTGGCCTTCAAATGAGTTAGATAGTCCGGCGGTGGACTATCCGTTCGCTTAAACACGTTAATATTATTAATCTTTGATCGTTTCTGCGTGGATTAAATATCGGCCGTTCTATAGGATTCGTGGGGGGGGGGGGGGTGGGTGGGTGGTGGTTTGGAAGGGCTGTAAAAAGTCCGCGTGCGTACAGGGAGCGGGGAGAGGGCTCAAGTTTTTGACGTATTTTTCATGCGTTGCGTACGCGATGGATGGCCCCTAACTCGAGACCATCCCGCCAGCGGTGCGCGTGAAGCTGTTCCAACCGCAGGGTGCCGTGCGCCTCTCGCTGCCGAGGGGAGCTCTGAGTGCCAGCGTTGGTAAGAAACCAACGAAAATCCACCTCCTGGTGCAAGTTTGTCCACTCGCTCTCGCCTGCCAATCAATGGACTGGCACGGACGTTGACAACGAGTAGCCGATAACCGGTTCCCCAGAAACGGTTACCGGTCCTTGCCGCTGTCACCTGACGATCATTGCGGATTTACCCGTCACCTATTAATATCACGCACGATGCACGAGATCGCGGGTGTGGTCAGCCCCACGCCCGGCCGCCTTTGTCTCCCCCGGCGCTGATGTCTACACTCCGCCCAGGTGTACATTTATTTAAGGCTGAGTCGACCGAGGGGGGAGGCCCAGGACCGGTTCGAGTATTCGCCACTGATATTGGTCGTGAGCGGAGAATGGAACTCGGGTCGCCGGGTTCGTAGCGCAGTGCGCTCACCGCTGCGCCACCGCTCCCGTCGCACATACCCACACACACACGCAGACACACACACACGCAGACACACACACACACACGCAGACACACACACACGCACACGCGCGCGCGCGCACGGACACACCAGTGCCACTGACAGCGCTCACACACACAATGTCACTGTAGTAAATACACAGCAATTATTTCACACGCTACACAGGACACCACCAGCGTAGGTACTCCCAAGCTAAGCAGGGCTGCACCTGGTTAGCACACTGCGTGGGTCTGTCTGGGAATACCAGGCGGATGTTGTTTTCTTTAGATGGCAATGTGGACGTGGATTATTGCATACATCTGTGTGGAGCTCTGAGAGTTTGTGTGTGTGTGTGTCTGTGTGGTGAGCAATAATGTAGCATTTGATGCGCTGCGCTACGAACCAGCGACGATTATCTGAAACTGTTCTGGGCCTCCCCTAGGTCAACTCAGTCTCAAATTAATACCCGGTGCGGTGTGTAGTAAGCATCGCCGCTAGGGAGACAAAGGCGGCCGGGCGTGATGCTGGCCACCCACCCCCTCGTGCGCCGTGCCGACCTTCACCGGTGCTCGTTAACAGCACTTGCCCCAACAGTCTGTTAAGGCTATACGGGGGAGCTTTGTCTTGCCTCCCTGCCCTGCTAATGAGTGGTTGTGTTTTTTTTCTCCGGGTTTCTCCGATCAGCCCAGACCCGAGGGCAAAAAACAAAACGAACGAATCCCGGGAATTGAATTCCCGACCGAACATCGCGACGTGGCAACATCCTCCTGAAAGTGAGTCGCGAGACTCGCCAAAAACAGAGATGGTTTGGATACAAGGGGGCATTGCGTGTGTGTGTGTCTGTCAAATGATACGTAGCTTACACATGCTGCGTGAACATCGCCGCTAGGGAGACAAAGGCGGCCGGGAGTGGTGCTGCCCACCCACCCCCTTCGTGTACCGTTCCGGCCATCAAAGGTGCTCGCAAAACAGCACTTGCCCCGACAGTCTGTTAAGGCTATACGGGGAATCTTTGTCTTTGTATGTTGGACTTCTTTCGTACGTAGCCAACCGCGCTAATGGGGTTAGCATAGAAGTAGGATCAGTACTGTACAACAATGGATTGTGCCGCACCCTAATATCTCGGCGGACAACGCGTAGCTTTGCGCCTGTTTATGCCCGCTGATCGTCCATCCCGGTGTGATCCAGACTCAACTTTGCTTACCTTCCGTGGGGTTTATGTTCGAGGCTTCTCACATACAGGGGTGGCCAAAAAAGTCAGGACACATAGGGGGCCGTCCACAAATGACGTCACGCGATTTTGGACGATTTTTGACCCCCCCCACCCCCCTCCCTCGTCACACGGCGTCACAAAAAGTCAGACCACCCTTAAATATGACGTCACAAAGCTCTGCCCCCCGCCCCCCAAATGTTTTTTTTTATATAAAACATGCTTCAAATCGCTTTAAACTATTGTCATTGTAGTGCGTGTTTAATGTGCCGCTGCACTCTGGTGTTGTAGGAGAAAACATTTATATATTAAAAAAAGTATATTTAATTAAGCAGAACGTGTTGTCTATGTTTATTTAAAGTTGCGCATTTTGATGTGACGTCACATTTCTCAAATCCCCTCGTCACACATCGTCACAAATGTCTGACCCCACCCCCCCAGGTGCGTGACGTCATTTATGGACGGCCCCTAAAGGGTTATTTAATTTACTTAAACACCGGCATTAAAACAGTTTAATTATGCATTAAGTTTATACTTGATCTATTATCATTATTCATTACTATTGTTCGTCATCCTTTTTCAGATGAAAGACATTTGGCAAAAATTGACGAGGCATAATTGATTAATGTTCAAAGAATAGAGAATGCATGCATCATGAATGAATGTTAATGGCAGTGAGTTTGAACATGTGTTAAAATCTATTAAATAACCTGACAATATTTGTTAAAATTTTGATTTAAAGCTTTCGTGACTGCAGTGATTCATATTATTGGTTCTTTTGGTAAAGTCACGTTGAAGGGAAACAATAAAATAATAAAATAAAAAACACAATTTTATTGTTTTATATATATATTTTATATTATTTTATTGTTTCCCTTCAACGTGAGTTTACCAAAAGAACCAAGAATATAATATTTGTTAAAATAATAACCCAATGTGTCCTGACTGTTGGGCCACACTGTATAAATGTATCAACGATGAAAAATATAACATTTTAGTTTATTCGCAATGTACAATGTGTGTGCATGCGTGCATTGAGTGCGTGTCAGAACTGCTGGCATAATCCAGCGGTGGAAACTCCACATTCCCATGACAGAAGCGAGTATTTCATCCCGTTAATGCATGGGTGTTACACACACGTGGGATGGCAACCAGGGCACCCGGAGATAACCCACACGTGCGAGGGAGCAACGCTATATCCCATTCAGACGGACCAGATGGAGATTAGTCCACACACTGCTGTACCACCGCCTTCTCCTGGCGAGTCAGGGGGTACGGCTCCTCCTCGACATCCACCCACGGGTAAGGGGGAGGGAGTTTCACAACACCACCATCTGCGTGTGATCCACTAACCCTCGCTGCCACCTCTACATTGCTGGATGGTTACAGGCAGCCACCACCACCACCACACAGGTACCCAGACGACTTAACGGATACTCTATATTGCAATAGCTCTACACACTACCTACATACTAACACTGTAATCCAGATGCAACATTTATCACGCGCAGTTATAATAGGACGCATGTGCGTGTTGAGCAAAAATATCCATACATATATACACACAAAGACCCCCCGTATAGCCTTAACAGACGGTGTGGGCAAGTGCCGTCAACGAGATTCTATCTAGGGCAGCTCGATGCACGAGGAGGTGGCGTGGTCATCACCACGCCCGGACGCCTTTGTCTCTCCCCAGTCCTGACGTTTACGGCACCAAATACCCATTTATGGCTGAGTCTACCTAGGAGAAGCGCAGCAGACACGGCTCAGATAGAATGGTGGCCAGGATTTGTAGCGTAGTTGCGCTTATCACTGCGCCACCGCTCCACACACTCCCATCCATCTACATGCCCACACATGTACAGTACTTACACACATAATATACACACACACACACACCACACGCAAACATCCCTTGTGTAGCCTTAGCAGACTGTTGGGGCAAGTGCTGTTAGCGAGCACCGCCTATAACGGCAAGCACGGCGCACGATGGGGTGGGATATTCACACGCACATGAACACACACACGTACGCATGCACAGGCACACGCATTTAGACACACAATACACACACACTTAAAACGATCCCCCGTGTAGCCTTAGCAGACTGTTGGGGCAATTGCTGTTAGCGAGCGGAACCCACGAATGCAGGAACGGCACGCGACGGGGCTGGGTGGTCAGCACCACGCCCGGCCGCCTTTGTCTCCCAAGTGGCGATGCTGACACAACCGCACCAGCCACTCGTTTAGGGCTGAGTCGACCTAGGGGAGGGACCCAGCACCGGTTCAAATAATATCGTGGTGGGTTTATCGCTGCGCGCACAACCCTCGGCGCTGCCACTCCCCCCCCCACACACACACACGCGCGCGCACGCGCTCACCACATACATTCGCACTCAGAACAGCGAACTAACGTGCGATGTTTCGTAGAACAACAAGCGAGCGCATTGAATGACACGAGGGAACGGCGAAACTTTGTGTACTTACATGCTGGAAGAGCCCCGGTTAGACGCCCACAGCGGGCGAGCGCATTGCCCACGACGCCTCTCGCCAGTTTTTATTTTTTTTTATTTGCCTCCTTTTCTTCTTTCCAGCCGAGATGAGCAAAAACCTCGTCACCACCTCTTCTCGTCTACGAAGCGCTCCTCGCGACGTTAAAGACTCGGGTGGACCGCACGACGAGGAGGTTGTTTGCAGGCACCACAAGTTGCAATCAATGCGCACGGAAGAGCGATTGGATGGTAACAGCCGGATGCGAGATTTACATCAAATCGCGATCATCATCGTAGTATCAATTATTTCAGAAATGAGATTCGTCGTCGTCCTCGTCGTCATCATCATCTCGCCATCTTCACGATAATCATCACAGTCTTCATCATCATCATCATCTTCAGCATCATCACAATCATGGGCGTGAATGCAAGACCACGTATAATCCAAGACGAGTCATTATGTCAGCCGCAAAAAAACGTGAAATCCTTCTTGGCAGCTTTAATTGATGTGTGTGTGTGTGTTCCGTTTATGCTGCAGTAATGTCTATAGGTCTGTGTGTGTGTGTGTTTGTGTCTAATTTATATTCCGTAAAAACATTCTTCGGGGGTAATCTCGCAAGGAGTATGCGTGGCAGCAGCACAGATGTGGAGACAGAGAGTGGTGTGGGTGAGCGAGAGAGGGAGAGCAGAAAGGAGAGAGAGAGAGGGAGGGAGAGAGAAAGGGAGAATGGGGGAGGGGGGTAGCGCGTGTGTGCGCGAATACAGCAAACACTGACAAAGATCCCCCGTGTAGCCTTAGCAAGCTGCCAGGGCTAAGTGCCGTTAGCGAGTAGCACCTCTGAAGGCCGGCACGGCACGCGAGGAGGAGGAGGAGGAGGATGAGGGGGGAAGGGACGTGGGTGGTCAGCACAAAGCCCAGCCACCTTTGTCTCCCCAGTGGCGATGTTAATAGAACCACCGCAAACCCCTTTGGTAATAATTTGAGGCTGAGTCGACCTGTGGGAGGCTCAGTAACAGCTCAGATGTCACTCACGTCGCGGAATCGAATTCGGGTCAATTTGTGCACATCAGAGCACGGTGCGCAAAACCGATCCGCCACCGCTCCCATTCTGGCACTGACAAAGATCCTCCGTGTAGCCTCTTAGCAGACTGTCGGTGCTAAGTGCTCTTAACGAGTGGCACCTCCGAAGGCCTGCACGGCACGCGATGGAGGGTTGGTGGTCAGCACCACGCACCGGCCACCTTTGTCTCCCCAGTGGCGATGTTTACGCACCGCACCAGGTGCTCGATCTAGTGGCTTGGATGAGCCAGGAGCGGTTCGTGTAGATCGTCACTCGTGCCGGTGGTGGCCGTGATGAGCGGGAATGGAACTCGCGTCGCGCCGGTTAGTAGCGCAGCGCGCTAACCGCTCCGCCACCGCTCCCCATGCGAGCACAACAACCACTCGTTCACCACCAATGGGCGGTGACGTCACCTCGGCGCTTGTGCCAGGCTAGGTGCACTTTGAGGCCGCGTGAAGTGTCAAAGGCCCGCTGGCAGGAGGTCACGAAACAGACCCAGGCGCCATGGGTTGACGGACCGAGATGACTGGCAGGAGGCTCCACTGTGCCAACCTGCTGTGCTTTAGCCACCCGGCGCTCCGCTCGTTGTTGTGAGCGTCGCTCCTACGCCCTCCGTTGTTGCTGGAGGGGCGACTGCCTCTAACTCCCTCGGAGCGTTCTTCACGAGCCTCCTCCACAGAGGTCGATCTTGCTGGTACCAAGAATAGAACCGGTATTTAATCAGCTCCACGTGTATCTAGTTTGACACGCGTGTGTGTGTGTGTGCGTACGTGCGGGGAGCGGTAGTGTAGCGGTTAGCGCGTCGCTCTACGAGCCTGGCGATCCGGGTTCAATTCCCCTAGACGATTATCTTGAACCGGATCCCGGGCCTCAGATAAGTCGCCTCTTTCACAAATCTACGGGACCATTATACAGTGAGGGGGAAAAAAAGTACTTGATCCCCTGCTGATTTTGTACGTTTGCCCACTGACAAAGAAATAATCAGTCTATAATTTTAATGGTAGGTTTATTTGAACAGTGGGAGACAGAATAACAACAAAAAAATCCAGAAAAACGCATGTCAAAAATGTTATAAATTGATTTGCATTTTAATGAGGGAATAAATATTTGACCCCTCTGCAAAACATGACTTAGAACTTGGTGGCAAAACCCTTGTTGGCAATCACAGAGGTCAGACGTTTCTTGTAGTTGGCCACCAGGTTTGCACGCATCTCAGGAGGGATTTCGTCCCACTCAGTGGCATAGTAACTATATTATCAGTGGCGTAGTAACTACATTATCAGTGGCGTAGTAACTACATTATTAGTGTGGTAGTAACTACATTATCAGTGTGGTAGTAACTACATTATCAGTGGCGTAGTAACTAAATTATCAGTGGCGTAGTAACTACATTATCAATGGCGTAGTAACTACATTATCAGTGGCGTAGTAACTAAATTATCAGTGGCGTAGTAACTACATTATCAATGGCGTAGTAACTACATTATCAGTGGCGTAGTAACTACATTATCAATGGCGTAGTAACTACATTATCAGTGGTGTAGTAACTACATTATCAGTGTGGTAGTAACTACATTATCAGTGGCGTAGTAACTAAATTATCAGTGGCGTAGTGACTAGATTATCAGTGACGTAGTAACTACATTATCAGTGGTGTAGTAACTACATTATCAGTGACGTAGTAACTACATTATCAGTGGCGTAGTAACTACATTATCAGTGGCGTAGTAACTACATTATCAGTGGTGTAGTAACTAAATTATCAGTGGCATAGTAACTACATTATCAGTGGTGTAGTAACTACATTATCAGTGGTGTAGTAACTACATTATCAGTGATGTAGTAACTACATTATCAGTGGTGTAGTAACTACATTACCAGTGGTGTAGTAACTACATTATCAGTGGCGTAGTAACTACATTATCAGTGGCATAGCAACTATATTATCAGTGGCGTAGTAACTACATTATCAGTGTGGTAGTAACTACATTATCATTGTGGTAGTAACTACATCATCAGTGGCTTAGTAACTAAATGGCGTAGTAACTACATTATCAATAGCGTAGTAACTACATTATCAGTGGCATAGTACATATATTATCAGTGGCGTAGTAACTACATTATCAGTGTGGTAGTAACTACATTATCAATGTGGTAGTAACTACATTTTCAGTGGCTTAATAACTAAATTATCAGTGGCGTAGTAACTACATTATCAATGGCGTAGTGACTACATTATCAGTGGCATAGTAACTACATTATCAGTGGCGTAGTAACTACATTATCAATGGCGTAGTGACTACATTATCAATGTCGTAGTGACTACATTATCAGTGGCGTAGTAACTACATTATCAGTGGCATAGTAACTAAATGATCAGTGGCGTAGTAACTACATTATCAGTGGCGTAGTAACTACATTATCAGTGGCGTAGTAACTACATTTTCAGTGACGTAGTAACTACATTATCAGTGGTGTAGTAACTACATTATCAGTGGCGTAGTAACTACATTATCAGTGGCGCAGTGACTAGATTATCAGTGGCGTAGTAACTACATTATCAATGGCGTAGTGACTACATTATCAGTGGCATAGTAACTACATTATCAGTGGCGTAGTAACTACATTATCAATGGCGTAGTGACTACATTATCAATGTCGTAGTGACTACATTATCAGTGGCGTAGTAACTACATTATCAGTGGCATAGTAACTAAATGATCAGTGGCGTAGTAACTACATTATCAGTGGCGTAGTAACTACATTATCAGTGGCGTAGTAACTACATTTTCAGTGACGTAGTAACTACATTATCAGTGGTGTAGTAACTACATTATCAGTGGCGTAGTAACTACATTATCAGTGGCGCAGTGACTAGATTATCAGTGGCGTAGTGACTACATTATCAATGTATTTACTATGCCGCTGATAATGTAGTTACTACGCCACCGGTGGCTATGCCTGCCAACCCGTTAAGTGTCGGGAGCTTGGCATGCTCTCCCTGATCCAAGATACGCGAGAGATGACAGCCAAAATGGATTTGTTGCCCAATCACACCCCCACCCTCCTCCACCATTGCCTGCACCTGTGGATGGAAGGAACGGAGCCGCCGTGACCCACGTGAGCCGCCTGTCAACAACGGATGAACGCTCCAGACTTGTGGAAGGTTCAAGAAGGTTGGCTGGCTGGTCAAATATCTTCCTCGCCTGTTCGTCACGGTGGCCAGGCGGTGTTGACTACCTCGCCATGCTGTACAGGGTGCCGTGGGTCCGATCCCTATTCCTGACGCCTGTTGTATACTGTGTGCTTTAAAAAAAATTTCCATCACTCATACGGGGACTATCGTTTTTTTTATGGAAACATTACAGATATTACACTGTAACATGATAACAAATATTCCTCTTCTTTGGTTCTTTCGGTAAAGTCTCGTAGAATGAGAATAAAATAATAAATTGATAAAATAAAAAAAACACACAATAAAATTCTCACGACGTTTCGGTCACAACACAAGTGGCCTTCATCAGGTGAAGGGACGAGACTGTCTCGAGTACAGCGCTGGAGCGAACACAGCCAAGCTCAGACCGCGACCTTTATTTTATTAATTTATTATTTTATTCTCATTCTACGTGACTTTACCGAAAGAACCAAAGAAGATGAATCCTTGCAGTCACGAAAGCTTTAAATCGAAATATAACAAATATTCTTGGTTCTTTCGGTAAAAATCACGTTGAAAGGAAACAATAAAATAATATATATTGTTTTATATATATTATTATTTTATTGTTTCCCTTCAACGTGACTTTAACCGAAAGAACCAAGAATATGAATCACTGCAGTCACGAAAGCTTTAAATCAAAATGATAACAAATGTAAAGTTAATAGCTTCAAAAGTCAAAAATTCTCCACTTGTTCGCCGTCATTGTCAACACGTGCTGTGGAATCTTTTCCACGTGGTCTCCAGAGCCGGGGGAGACACATTTCATAGTTCATTTATTTATTTCATAGTTTCATTTATTTGGTATAGCCCTGTGAGCCATTCGGCTCTTGAATTGTTGCAACTTCTCCGAAGTGTTAACATTTTTTTGAAGCAACCCTGTGTTTGGATCGTGTGTGTGTGTGTCTGTGTCTCTCTGCGTCTCTCCGTTGTCGCGCGGGTTTTTCTCCGGGCTCCTGCGGAATGTTATCACCTCCACCTTTAGCATCGACATCAGCCGTTTAAGAGTATTAGACCGTCTTCATTTGAAGCTTTCGTGACTGCAGGAATCAATACCCACCGGTTGTTTCGGTAAAGTCACGTGACTTTACCGAACCAATCAGAGAGTTTCCATTTTTCCATTGCCTCCGTGCAGTGACCCACCGCATCCCCCGCACCTTCAACATAACAAAAGACGGATTAACTTAGCCCCGCACCCCATCAATGTCCCCTACCTAGCTCCTCCACCCCCCTCCCCCCCCCCTTAACCCGTATTTAAGCTCGAGGCTCTCAGAGCTTCCCCACTTGATGCAGCGATCTTGCTGTGACTGTTCCACCTGAAGACGGAAGCTTGTGTTGCCGCTGAAACGTCGTGATTTAATTGTTTTCTTTTATTTTATTTTACCTACGTAACTTTTACCGACAAAACCAAAAAGTATAGTT